GTCAGAATATAGAAAGAAGGCAATCCCTGAGGATGTGAAGAAGTCCCCTCGCATCATTGAAAACACACTGAAGAAACTATCAGAATTAGCGGCTAAACTGCTTCGGCAAAAAAAAGCAACTTTTGATCAAAGCGAGATGGAATGCGATTTCGATTCAGGAGAAGTCGAAAAACTGAAGGGTAGTGGTCTTCTTCATTGTGGTCAGCCTTTCAGGACCAGTTCGACTACAACAACTAAACACTTTAGATTTACCCATTTAATCGTTCAAGAATACTTGGCTGCTCGTTGCTTTGTAAACGAAAATCATATTCCAGACGGAAGTTTTTCTAAAATGGTTTTTCAATTCATGGCTGGTATTTTGTCCGAAAATAAAAACGAGGAACTAATGGAAAAATTAATGGCAAATGTTCAGGCCTTATCCTCTAAAACTCACCTTCTCGCAGCAAAATGCCTGAGCGAATGCAACGACAAGGAATTCGCCAAGAAGTACATTAGGAAGCATCCTCATGCATGCTCCGACTCAGACAACAGCTGGTCTCTTGAAAATGTATCAGATGTAGACTGCCTTGCAGTATCATTCGTCTTGAACATCGTAAGTGATGTTAATGGAGAAGAAGCTGGAAGGGCTCGACACGAAAGTTCTGAAAAGTTCGAGGCAATCGAGAAGTTGAAACTAACCATGTCGCCGCGGTCATTGCCTGGAATAAAACGAATTTTTAAGTCACTAGAAAAGGAACACTCTCGTGTTTCCAAACTGAGAATCACGCATTGCGACTTGACAAAGGAATTTGACGTCATTGGTAGTTTAGTGTCCTGTAAATTAATAACTCTTAATCTGGGTTATAATGAGCTCACTGATACCAATATTGCCAGCCTAAGTGACGCTTTAAAAGATCCACGCTGTAGGTTAACCACACTCTGTCTCTGTGCCAAGGAAATCACTGATAACGATTTTTCTAGTCTTTGTGAAGTACTACAGCATCCAGGCTGTAAACTGACCACACTTTTTCTTGGGGGAAATAAGATCACCGATGCTGGAGTAGCCAGTCTATGCAATGCATTACAGCACGCTCCCTGTGGGCTAACCACACTAGATCTGTGGGGTAATCGGATCACCGATGCCTGTGTTACCAGTCTTTGTGAAGCACTACAGCATCCTTCCTGTAGGCTGTATACACTAAGTCTGTTGGGTAATGAGATCAGTGGTGTAGTATCTCGCCAGGATGGTTCGGATCTAACCAATAACACTCGGATTAAACCAACGCACATTAACTTAACAGTTTAATGGTGGACAACGTGTTCTAACAACAACTCTCGCACGCATGCGCCAATGGGTAATACACTACAATCCCTCCCTTGTTTGGAATAGATCCTAGACTGAAAACTAGTGTGAAAATTGTTCTCGTACAACGGGAGATTTTATAAACTAAAACTGTTCTGGTCGATAATAGTCTTTCTAAAAAAAAAAAC